CCCTGCATCCGCGGAGCTGAGGCATGAAACTTCCCTGCTTGGTGAAGAATTATTGCGGAGCGAGACAGTTCTGGCGGTAAGAGCCCGCTTCCCCGAGGGAGACGCTAAGATGTTCTTTGCAATTAAAATTTCTTTCAAACTCGGACCAAAGAAGATTGGAAAAGGAAATATTTTCAGTTTCAAAGACCTTTCCCAAACAGGGGTGGCGTGAGAGCTCCGAAGAATCAAAGGCCGGGGGGGGAAACCACCGACCGGCTGCTCACACAAATATTTGGCTGGGGGGGAGGGACGCCCTGCCCCGTTCAGGGTGTGGCTGCTAGGATTGGACTGGGGGGGGGCAGGAGGCTTCCTTTCCGCCCAACCGAGAAGAAAAGCGATGAAGAAGCTCCCCCGCCAGGAAAGTAATTCCGAAAAGCCAGAAAGGGGAACCTGGCGATTTACTTCAAGGGCAGAAAAGATTACACTTTTAATAAGTAGAATGGCTTTCTGCTCCCTTTTATTATGAACGTTGCAGTGTGTCTGCCATTATCCGAGGGGCCTTTTGCTTCTGGGCCTGCCTGGGAAGGGCGGAGGGGGTGGGCAGGAGGGCCGAACTGAGCCCTGGGAAGGGCTGAGCCGGCTGCCTGCAGGCCGGCCCTCCCTCCCTCCCTCCCTCCTGCCCTTCTGGGCCAAGGCTGGGGAGGGGCTGCATCCCAAAGGGGTGCGGTGGGCCAGCCTGGAGGGGCACAGGCTGGATTTACCTGGGAGCCCCTTCTGGAGGGGGGCTGCACCCATCTTCTCCCGGGGAGCCATACCGAGAGAGTAGCTGCGCTGCGTGCCAGACTGGCAAGGGGCAGGCTATGATGGGGGCGGGCGGAAGCTGCCTCCGGGAGCAGCAGCGCCCCAGGCCCACGAGGAGTCCATGGGGATGGGGACGACACTTGGGGGACGGGGGGATTTGCCCTCTTCCCGCAAGAGAGGAGGGGGGCTGAGCGGGCAGCAGGCACCCAGCTGGCCAGGGCTTTGGAGGGCCAATGGACGCCCCCCCCATTTCCCCAGGGGCTGCTCCTGTGTAGCGGATCCTGGGAGATGGAAACTCCACACTCTCTGTCTGCCCCCTCCCATGAAAAAGGAGAGCTAAGCAGAATTGGATCTGGTGTGAAAGGAGAACCGAGCCATTCGTGGCTTACTGATGTTCCGCGCTGGCCGAACCCAGAAGGGGGCTTTGTTGGGGAATCCCACAGGCTGCCTGGCCCATCGCGGCAAGAACTGCGCCTCCGTGCCAGGCCCAGATCAGACGCCCGGCAGGTGGCCTGATCCTGTACCAAGCCCCCCGCCAAGCCAAGCCATGCTTTTGGGGGGGATGGGGAGCTGCGAGCCCATCAAGGAAGGGTTCTCTCTCTAGGGAACCCCTCTGGGGTTGGGCTGGGTGCCGGGGGCACCTGGTACTTGCAGCTTTTCCCAGCCCAACCAAGGGGCATTCTGCTTGGTCTGGGGGGGGTTGCCCTTCTCAGGAGGGACAGCGCCTACGTTGCTCCTGCGGGGGAGAGGGCCGTGCCCCACCAGTGTGGCTCCCCTGGGAGGGGCAGTCTGCTTGGTCTCCAGCCTCCCCTCCCCTCCTGCTGGACAGCCCCCTCCCCCTTTGCCATGGACCCCCAGAAAGAGCCCCCACAGGCCCACAGGGAGGCACGTGCTGTGCTGGGAGGGCTGCTGCCCCCCCCCCCATTGCATTGGTAAAATGAAATAAATATCGACACGGCCGGGATGCTGTTCAATTTGTCCTGATCGCTGGGCTGCAGTGAGTTCTGACACGGCTTATGTTTCTGTAAAACATAAGCTCAGGATGTAATTTCTACTGTCAACATGATGTACAGTTTGGTTCTGCCAAACACACACTGACAAAGCGGGGAGGGGGGGCAGGGAGGGAGGGACGGACGTGCCGTTGCCACCCAGCCTGGGAAAGGGGTGTGTGTGGGGGGGGGCACTGGGTCCAGCCCTCCCAGCGGGCCAAAGGAGGCATGTGAGGGGGGGGGGGGCTCCCCCCTGGGGGGGGGGGCGGCGGGGGCGGGGCGAACAAAAGGCCGAGCGGGGGGGGGGGGGAGAGATTCCCCAGGCAAGTTCTGGTTCCCACAGCAACCGTTGCCCAGGCCTGGCACGTGTAGGTGGGACACGTTTGCTGTTGCGGTCTGTGGATGTGTGGCACGCGTGCGTTGGTTGCCTCCAGATGGGTCTGCCTGGACGGACGGGCAGCCCGCAGAGAGTGGCCCTGCAGTGAAGCACGAGGTGGCCTGCTGACCCTGGAGGGGCCCCCAACCTTCAGGCAGCCCCCCACCCCTGGCTGTGGCTTTGTCCCTGGAAGGGAGACGCCTGCAAGCAGCCTCACCCCAGCTGCTCTGTCCTGTCCGTCTCCTGGGCTGAATTTGGGCGAAATGCCACCGCCCCCCCACCCCTCCCTGCCAACCCTGGGCCCAAAGAGGCCAAAGGGCAGCCGGCACCTTCTCGAAAAGCCACCTTCCCTCTCCCTGAGGGTTCAGGAAGTGCCCCTCCCCGGCCAGGGAGCAGTCTGGGCAGCTGATGAGCCAGCCAGGCAACTGTCTCCCCCCCTGCACAAAATGAGGTACCCCTTCCCCAGCTGCAAGTGAAGCCCCCCACCCCGCCCCCTAACTGAGACCCAGGACTTCTGCGAAAGTGGCACCAGGAGCATTCAGGGGGCCCTCCAGGCCACTTCAGGAGGTGCTCCCCCAGGTCAGAGGAGTGACCCCGTGGCAGCCCTGCCCCCGAGGTGTCCAGACATCTGTGCAGTCCGGCCTTCCATCCTCCCCACGTTCGGCTCCACGTGACCGGCCTAAACCGGGGCTGCGGGGGAGGGGATCGCGGCTCAACCTGGGCAGCCTCGCCAATCGCTTCCAGGGTGGCCCTGGCTAAGCGCGGGTCAGGCCCCGGTCGAGGGCTCCGCGCGTCCTCGGAGGTGGAGAAGCCGCCCTGGGCAGAGAGCGCGCGCGCGGGGCTGGCCTGGGGCAGGGTCGCCGTCGACGGAAGCGCGGCATGCCTGGCGGTCCCTTCGGTGGGGGGAGCTGCGCGGGGCTCTGGGTGCGAAATCAGCCCGGGGCTCGGGCTCAGGGATGGAGAAGGCGGGAAAGAGGTTTTTAAAAGCCGCGGGGTTTCTCCGAGGGAGCCGACCAGCCCCTGATCGGCCTTTTCGAAGCTGCCGCCGCTGCCAGCAGAGCAGGGAAGGAGCCTTCGAGGCCGGCCCGCCTCAGCAGTTGCGCCCAGCGCGGGCTCCCAGGCAGGGAAGCGCCGATGGCTCCCCCCGGGGCTCGCCCTGCCTGCCCCGGTCCCCCTTAGCAAGGTTCGCCCGACGGGCTGCCGCTCCCGTCCCGCATTCCCCGGGCAAGGGCGCTAAGGCGGGCAGCAGCCGAGAAGCAGCGACGAGCAACGCGGCTGTCCCTGGGCGCCCGGGGGCCCCGCTGCGCCCACCACGCACCGCGGAGGCTCCGCGGGGCCGTTGCTGAGGCTGAGGACAGCGGAGGCCCCGGGCGACGGTGCCGGTTCTGGGGCTTCGGCTGCCTGGGAAGCCCCGCCTGGCCGTGAGTGGGAAGCTCCTCCGAAGCCGCAGCTGGGAGGAGCCCCCCAACCCGCCCGCCCTGCCCAGCGGAGGGGCGGTCCAGCGGGGGCTGCTGGAGAAGGAATTGGCGGCTGACCCGCAGCGGAGATGCACGAGCCGCCCGCGGGGGCGGGGGGGGGGCGCGAGCCCAGGCAGGCAACCTGTGCAAAAGGGGGGCGGGGCGGGGCAGCCTCTTCCTGGGCATCTCGGGGGGATCCGGGCCCCCCGAATTTCTCAGGGTGGTTGCGGAACATCGTTTTTCCTGGGTCGCATTTGTAAATCTTCCACATCTCGCGCAAAGCTAGGAAATTATCTTTGAAGTGCCTATCAGGAAACGGCACCGATTCCTCCCTCCTGCATCCCTGGGCAACAGCCGACTAGTGAGCTTTTCTCCTGGGCAAGGGCCGGGAAGGCCCCTCCCTCCGGAGGCAGCCGCCGACTGACCCCTTTGCTGGGCACTTGCTGTCTCCCCCCCCCCCCCCCCCCCCCCGGGGCGGCGGGCCCCCGGGGGGCCCCCCCCCCCCCCCCCCCCCCACTCTCGGGCAGCCCATACCAGCCACAGAAGTTTGTGGGCGGAGGGCTTTATCTCAGGAATGGAGGAGGAGGAGGAGGAGGAAGGCCGGGAGGGCCCCGGGGAGGATCGCTCCAGCTTCCTGCCTGGGTCGGAAAGCAGCCCCTCCGCAGCCCCCCCCCCCCCCCCCCCCCCCCCCCCCGCATAGGCACAGGAGCTGGAGCTGGGCCTTCGAGGAGCAGCCCCGGGGCCAGAAGCCGGAGGGGAAAGGGGGTGCCCCCTCGTGCTCTTGGCTTGAGTTGCCCCCCTGCCCCTCCCCCAGTGACGGGTGCTCTGTCTCTTCCAGGTGCCCGGAGGATGCCCTTGCCCGCTGCCCTCCTGACCCGAGGAAGACGGTGGCAGCTACTGCTGGCTGCCTAGGAGCTGCCTGGCCAGCAGAAGCCATGGAGCCTCAGTGCCACCCCTGCCAGGAGCAGCTGTAGCCGGGCCGAGTCTGCTGGGCGTGCCAGGCTGTGGCTCTGATGGGGCTTTGCGCCCGCCAGCTGCCCGCAAGGAGCCAGCTGTGGCCGGAGCCAAGAAACCGGTGCGCCCCCCCGCAGCCCCTTCGAGGCCAGGCTGGGCCGGTTTGGGAGTAGCCGCCCAGGGCCCTGTTCCCAGGATCTTCTGAGCCAGAGAAGGAAGGGGCCCCCCTCTGCGCCCGTCAGCCTCACCCGATGCCCACCGGCCTGCCCAGAGGAAGGGAGAGTCCCAGGCCCCCCTGCTCGTCACCCTGAGAAACAGAGCTGCTCCAGACCATCGCCGGCCCTGCCTACCATGGATGACTGACTGACCGCCTTGGCCGGTGGCTCCGCTTTGCCCCCCAAGGATGCCGGCGGGCCCCCTCCCTGCTGCCAGGACTCTGCAGTGATGGTGCCCCATCGCCCCCCTGGAAGCGGGCTCCTGCTGCTGCTCCTCCTGCTCCTCCTCCTGCTCCTTGGCCCGGACTGTCTGCTGGGGGCGCCTGGGGATGGCGCTCTGCCCGGCACCAGGCGGGTGAAACGTGGCTGGGTCTGGAACCAGTTCTTCGTGGTGGAGGAGTACACGGGCACAGAGCCGCTGTACGTGGGGAAGGTAAAGGCCGCGGGGGAGAGGGACTCTGCGGGGGTGGGGGGTGGGGGGGGCTGTGCTCATGGCAAGCTTCCCTGGGGCAGGATCCGGCCTTGGCAGCCTCCGGAGGTAGCTTAGCAACCGCCTCGTTTCCTACAGAACCCCAAAGTTGTCCACCTGGCCGTCTGCCCTTGCAGCCTCCCCCCCAAAACAGCCCATCTGCGGAGAAGGGGGGAGCGGGGAGCAGAGCGCAGGAAGGGCCCCTCTGGCTGGACAGGAGTGGCCCTTTCCCCTGCCAGGGGGGGTCTCCTCCTCTGCCCCCCCCAAACCGGCTGACCAAAGAGGCCCTAGACCATTTTCATAACATCTGGATATTCGCGCTAGCCCTTTCCGAGATGGCATTTCCCTGCAGGGCGGAAGTGGATTTTTGTGTTTTTAAAGTAGAATTATGGGGTCAGCATGAGTTACAAAGTTGTGCTTGTTGGGCAGATCTATTTTAGATAGAGAAGGGGATTAAAGGGGAAAAACAGATTTAATTAAGTTGCTACCATTTAAAAGGAATGGATGAACTTGGGTTTTATGAGTGGGAGCAGCCCCCAAAGGGCCTTTCATTCAGGGCAGCTTTTATATCCTTTCTTTTCTCTCTTCATCCCTGGGTCCTTCCGTATCTCGGAAAGTGTCTAATCATCTCTCCGAAAGCACTCCTCTGCTCAAATTTAATTTTGATTTAATTAGAAAGAGATAGTTAACGGCCTGGCAGAATCCCAGGTGGCCGACCCTTGGCACGCTGTGCCAATCTTCTCAAATTGGGGTGTGGGCCCCGGGAGGTCGCCGGGTGGTCGGAGCTCGGCCCTTTTCCAACCCAGGGTTCCACGGAGGCTCCGGCTTAGGACCGGCCCGGCCTCTCCTGGGGAATTGGAAGGGAACGGCGCTCTTTTCTATTGGCCAAGGGTGGCTGGACACCCATGGAGTTTGTCCGGGTGCAAAAGCTCTCCGTGGACCTAGAAGAGGAGAGAGAAGCACACAGCACACCGGGGGCCCATTATTCCCGCCCTCCGAGTGGAGGATCCCTGCAGAGTGTCGGGGAGAAGGAAGCGGGCGGATCCTTGAGGTTTTGTTTGGCCAAGCGGCCGATCTTCCTCTCTTGCAGGATCAGGCGCTTCCTCCCTTGGCCTGCTCTGCAGGGCCCGCAGGGATCCCTTCCCCCGGCAGGCCTGAGCGGGGTTTCTGTGCTGCCCAGCAGTCGCGCCAAGGTCTGCGTGCGGAAGGGCGGGGCGGCAGGGCCAAGGCAGGTGGGCCCCTCTCCGCCTTCCCTGAAGAGACTCCGGCTGCCTCTGCAGAGAGAAGCCTTTGCCGTTTGGGCAGCTCTGCGTGGCTTTGCAGGGGGCGACAGTCCTTCCTTGGGGCATCCCATAATACCACTCAGCCGACCCCTGAGGCGAGAGTGACAGGGGCTGAAGGTCCCTCCCGCAAGGCACCTCCCAAGGGCCCCTTCTCCCTCAAAGACCTCGGAGGAGGCTGGAGGGTTGGCCTCCACCTTCCCTGCAGGGGGGGATCCATCAGCACCCCCAGGGAGGCTGAGCTCCCTAAACTGGGCCTCAGCCTTAGAGATTAACAGAGTTGCAAGGGACCGTGGAGATCATCTAGTCCAACCCCCCTCCCCACCAGGCAGGAGACCCTACTCCATTTCTGACAGAGATGGGAGTCCAGCCTCTTCTTGGAAGCCCCCAGGGATGAAGCTCCCACCGCTTCTGAAGGCAACTTCTGTTCCACGGGTGGATGGCTCTCCCTGTCCGAAAGCTTCTCCTTATTTCCAGGCTGAATCTCTCCTTAGATCAGTTTCCGTCCACTGTTCCTTGTCTGGTCTTCAAAGGTGCCTTGAGGCAGCCCCTCAAGTATCGGAGGGCTGCTCTCCTGTCTCCCCCGGTCCTTCTCTTCCCTGGACTAGCCAGGCCCAGTTCCTGCAACCGTTCATCCTATGTTCAAGCCTCCATCCCCTCATCCTGGTTGCTCTTCTCGGCCCTCTTTCCAGAGTCTCAACGTCTTTTTTATAATGTGGTGACCAAAACTGGATGCAGGATTCTAGGTGTGGCCTTACTAAGGGTTTATATATTAGTACCTCCCTTGATCTTGGTTGTATCCCTCTGTTAATGCAACTGAAGACTGCATTGGCTTTTGGGGCTGCCACTGCACACGGCTGGCTCCTACTTAGCTGGTTGTCCACTAAGACTCCAAGATCCCCCTCCCACAGTTACTAATACAGATAAATACAGTTAATCAGAGTTGGAAGGGACCTTGTAGGTCACCTAGTCCAACCCCCCGCCCAAGGAGGGGACCCTAGACCATTTCTGACCAATGGCAGTCCAATTTCTACTTGAAAGTCTCCACTGATGGCGCTCCCACAACTTCCGAGGGCAACTTCTGTTCCATTGGTTGATTGTTCTCCCTGTCAGAAAGTTTCTCCTTGTTTCCAGGTTGAATCTCTCCTTGGTCAGTTTCCATCCATTATTCCTTGTCTGGCCTACAGGAGCTTTAGAAAATAGCTTGACCGCCCTCCTCTCTGTGGCAGCCCCTGCTCTTAAGCCTGGTTTCCCCCAGTCTATATGTGTCCTTTTGGTTTTTCTTGCCTAAGTGTAGGACTTTCCTTTTCTCTACATTGAATTTCATTTTGTTAGATATGGCCCAGTGTTCCAGTCTGTCAAGATCCATCTGGATCTTCAGCCTATCTTCTTGGGTGTTGGCTATTCCTACCAGCTTAGTATCATCTGCAAATTTGGTAAGTTCCCCTTCTATTCCTTCATCTAAGTCATTAATGAAGATACTGAAGAGTCCTGGGCCTAAGACGGAATCTTGTGACACCCCACTGCTTCCTTCCCTCCATGCAGACTTAGACCCATTAAGGACGACTCGTTGAGTACGGTTAGCCAGCCAGTTGCGAGTCCATCTGGTGGTGGTGCTTTCTTTTCCACTTTTTTCTAGCTTACCAAGAAGTAGGTTGTGGTCTACTTTGTCGAATGCCTTGCTGAAGTCTAAGTATATTATGTCCACAGTATTTCACTGGTCTACTGATTTAGTCACTATGTTGAAGAATGAAATAAGATTGGTTTGGCATAATCTGTTCTTAACAAATCCGGTAATTATTACTTTACTTGTTTCTAGATGTTGGCAGATCTGTTTTTTATTATCTTTTCCAGTATCTTCCCAGGTATTGATGTTAGGCTGATTGGTCTATAGTTTCCTGGGTCTGTTTTTTTCTCCTTTTTTGAAGATGGGAACTACATCAGCTCTTTTCCAGTCCTCTGGTAGTTCTCCGGTGCTCCAGGACCTTTGAAAGATGTGGTGCAGTGGTTCTGAGATGACCTCTGCCAGCTCCTTTAAAACTCTGGGATGTAATCCATCAGGATTTGTGTTCATCAAGATCAGACAGGTGTTCTCTTACTATTTTTTTGCTTATTTTAACTTTTATTTCTGGTCTGTCTTTTACAGTTATGTTTTTGGTGGGTTCAGCTATAGTTTCTTTTTGCGTGAAGACGGATGCAAAGAATGAGTTAAGCAATTCTGCTTTCTCTGTGTTGCCTGTTACTTCCTTGCCATCTTCTCTCTTTAGTGGACCGACTGTTTCTTTTTTTCTTTGTTATTTATATGTTGGAAGAAACTTTTTTAATTATCTTTTTGTTGCAAGTCTTCGTTCATTCTGAGCCTTTGCTTTCCTGACTTCATCTTTGCTGATATTCTGCCTTAGTTGTGTCCCCCTCTTTCCATTTTTTGTACTTGTCCTTTTTTTCTTTCAATTTGCCAGAGAGATCTTTGTGCAGCCATGCTGGTTTCTTCTTGGGTTTCTTGTTTTTCTTTCTCAGTGGTATTGCGCTGGTCTGGGCTTTTATAATCGTACTTTTCAGAGTTTCCCAAGATTCTTGAGTTGTTTTCCCCTTTAGGATTTTCATCCAAGGAATCTCCCAAGTTCTCTCTGAGTTCATTGAAATCAGCTCTTTTGAAATCCAATACTCTGGTGTCATTATGTTCTGTTGCTTGTGTAATGTTGAATTCTAGTATGACATGGTCACTCTCACCCAAGGTTCCTGCAGTTTCAACTCCCCCTATCACTTCTTCTCTGTTTGTAAGAATTAAGTCCAGTGTGGCTGTCCCTCTAGTTTCACCCTCTACCTTTTGGACAACAAAGTTATCAGCTAGGTTGGTAAGGAACTTATTTGATTTCTCACTTGGTGCAGAATTAGTCTTCCAATTGATATCAGGGTAATTGAAGTCCCCCATTGCTATTGTAGTGTGTTTCCTACATATGTTTGTTAGTTGGTTAGCAAAAAGGACACCTATTTTTTCTGCTTGGTTGGGTGGCCTGTAGTACACACTTATGGCCATGTCATTCTTTTGTTGTTTTATATTGACCCATACGCGTTCTGGGAGGTTTTCGCCTCTGGTTTCATGCATTTCTGTAGCAATATAGTGGTCCTTGATGGACATCAGTTCCTCCCAAAGACTCCTGCAGCTGTGCCCTACCGCCTGGCTCCCCAAAACTGGATGGCCATGAGGCCCTGGGTGCAACGGGGCTTCTTGGGACTGGAAAACGTCACCGCTGAGATGGCTTTCCTTGTTCCTGTGTCCATTGGCCCCTGAATAGGCCCAAACTGGCAAAGGGTCGAGGGAACCCATGGTAGGCCAGGCAATTGTAAGAATCCCGTCCACATCGCCAGGCCTCAAAAATGGAAAGTGAGATCCCACATAAGCGGACCTGCTGGACATGTTATGTGATTCTGTGTCCAAAGTGTGCAAGTGTGGGCATCTGGAGAAAGAGAAGGGCAGCGGGTACGACCTTCCCTGGTGCTACCCCTGCCTGTTCCGCCTGAGCGGTTGGGGCCAAAAACAGCCCCCTCGGAGCCCTCAGAACCCAGGCCGGGAGCCTCCCGGGTGGGCCTCCTCCTGCGTGGAGCGAGAGCTTTCCCAGTCGAGTGGCCTCCTGCCCACCCTTGAAGGCCACCAGGGAGGAGGAGGGAAGAGCCCCTCTGGTC